ATTTATTTAATTATTTAAAAAATATTTTTAGTTGTACATGGACACAGTATCTTTATTTTGTTTATTTACTTTTATGTGGTGCTGAGGATGGAACCCAGTGCCTCACACAGGGCAGGCAAGCGCTTTACCACTGAGCCACACTCCAGCACACCTTACCTTTATTTTGCTGAGGATTGAACCCAGCACCTCTTGCATGCTAGGCAAGTGCTCTACTGCTGAGCTACAACCTCAGCCCAGTGTTTGAGATTCTTAAGACAACACAGAAGCAATGTAAATGAAATGGCAGCCTTTGTTCTGTGGATGGTTATGGTTGTATTTTTTATCATATCTTCAGCCCAAATTGCCATGTTTTCAAAGTACACTTAAAGGGGGCTGGGGATGTGGCTCAGTGGTAGAGCATTTGCCTAGCATGCAAAAGGCCTCAGATTCAATCCCCAACACTGCACCCCTGCTTAAAAAAAAAGTCTACTTAAATATCATGAAGACTCTATACAAATAATTTTCACATTACCTACGCTGTCTCTTCTAATAGAGGTTATTATCAGGTGTTGAAAACTACACAATTTTTAGTGCAGGTACCCCCAAGTGAATCTACATGAGATGTGGAACTGGAGTTTCGTGTCTTTCTTGCAGAGTCAGCAAGCCGCTTACTGGTGATTCTCAAAGAGATTCAGGCACGAGATACTAACGATTACTTCAACCAAGCCAAATACTGAAAGAATGTGATAGTTTTGATTTGAAGGACTTGAATATCCATGTGTCAAATATTGATACTTCTGCAGAAATCAAAGGTAACATATGTAAAGTTGATATGTAATCATTGTTTTTTTTTCTTTTCTTTTGGTATGGTACTGGGGATTGAACTTAGGTCCTCATGCATGCCAAGTAACAGCTTTATCTTTTAGTTTTAGTTTCAGCCCCAGGTGATTAAGTAATAGTAAAATATATGGAATGTTATTTATATAATAAATGAAGTCTTTCTTTAAAAAATTGGTTTTGGTAATGATCTGGTTTTAGGAATGAATTTTATAGACTTTTAAAACCAGAAAATGATGTGTTCCAGTTCAGCATACAAGGTGGTATAGCAGGAGGCTTTTGAGTGCTAAAATCCTCTTGACAGGCCAGGTGCTGTACAAGCAGTGTTGCTCCTTGAATCTGAGTGGGGCAGCAGTCATTTCCTTGCAATGGGGTTCATCTGCTGT